TCGCAAACTCTGTGCCGGGGTGGGCGTTTGGCAAAGAACAAGGGAGGTATGCCCTTGGGCAAACAAAAAGCGCATTATGGCAATCCTTGCAAGTGCATTCATCCCAGCGTGCAAGCAAGCCAACCGACGAAAAAAACGATCGAGCGTAAAACAAGACATGTAGTACAGAACGGACAAACAAAGAGCAGGACAAATCAGGACAAGCACAGGACGCAACAAGACCACACCAAACAACACGGGTTTTTCTCGAAGTAGGAATCGGTCCCAAACAATGGAAAGCGTATCCTGTCAACTGCCCTTTACCAAGCAAAAGGGGAGGGGCCCCCTTTTCTCGACTCCTTAGCCACCAGCCCTCTTAACTGCTCACCTCAAGGGGGCTTTTCCGAATCCAAGATCTTTGGGGCCAGGCAATTGCCAAGCAACCAAGCCACTGCCAGCGGGCTTCTTCAAGTCCCAATTAAAACCACCCCCGGAATCTGCAGAAAAACCGCCCAAAATCCCACATTGGTCGACCTCCAAACCCTGTGCCTTGCACTCCTCGAGGCGCTTGGCTTTCGCCAGCTGTTCTTCGCCCTCCCGGGTGCCAGTGACTCCCAGCAGGGACACCACCTGAGCGGCCCGGCAGGGTTCAGGTTGCGGGCCCTGGGAGAAGTTTACCTCTCTCTGTTTACGGGAACCCCCAAAATGGCGGCTTGTCCTATTGGTTGTCCTTTAAGACCAACAAACAGGGGTACCGGGTACCCTCAAAAAAGACCCCGTATTGGACTTCTGTCCAGACCACCCCCCATTCAAACTATGTCAATGTGCTTTGAAGAACTTGCCTCACAAAGCCCACAGGTTGGCGCAAAGTGAAAGCGTTGCAAAGTGTCAACAGCAAGGGCTACCTGCTACCTGATCCTTCTGGCAATCCTCCCTCTATGCATTTAAGCAAGCAATTCTGGCATGCAGGGAAAGCATGTGCTTGCCCAAGTACGAGGATTCTGTGATCAGATTCTGTTTAGACCATGTTTAGACCTCGAACTGGCGGGGTTGAGATTCTGCAATTTCTGCCAAGCAGCATACACCATGCCAGGAAGGGGATTAATGGCCGCCTCCGCCACCTGCATCTGAACCAGCCCAATCTTGCCATCAAGCACTGTCCATGGCGCTAAGAAAACTGTCCACCGCTAAAAGGGGTCGTTTTGAAACTGCGAATCTCCACGGGAAAAAAAGGAAGAACAAGAAAAGAAAAGACTCTCCAACAAAGCGAAGGCTATACTGAACCCAGTCTGCCTGCGCAAGACGTTCTGCGCCGCTGGTGGGCGAAGCCAACGGCACAAGGCTGAGATTGTGCTTGGCCGCTTCTGGCGCCATGATCTGGGGCGTGGCGTCAAGGCAACTGAAAACTGGCCAAGATGTGTAAACATTCAACATACCATCGAACCTTTGCTCGAAGTAGACCACTACGGCCTTGGCCTGTTTCCGCAGCGCAACTGTGGTTGATTTGGTGGTTAAGAATAGAGGAGCTTCCCATTCATCATCTACAAAAGAGACTTGACACGTGGTGGCGCCCGAATTGGATCCCAAGGTGCCCTCCAGGACTCCTCCACCGGCAAATCCACCACGATGAAGCCGTCAATTCCCGCTTCGGAACACTCCTGGTGGGATTCGGGGGGATTTGAAATTTGGGTTGGGCTCTCAATAGGACCCTCACCCCCGCCCCAAAAAAAAGAGCAGAAAGAAGGCTCTGAAATGTCTTCCCTTCAAACAAACTTCAACAAGAAGACACACCCAATCTGGAAGCTTCAAAGGCGGGTAGAACACATGCTGAGTCCACTGAAAGAACAACTGTTAAATAAGCTTAATTTAACGGAGGCCTACACGTAGCGGTCCACTGCAAGTGGAATAGGTCATGCATGGTGAAGCTTTCCTCCCATCGACGGTCAGCTGATGTCAGCTGTCAAGCTGCCCTGAAAGCCTCCACACCGGCCACACGAGACGTGTTCATAGCAAAAACCACCAGCTGAAGACCAGCGTTCTATCCAATCGCTGGCTAAATTGCCGTGGACATATGAAACGAATTTCAGAATGCTCCCGGAGGCTCCCAGTCAACAAATCAAGTCTCCCCGCCAGTCAGACGCCATCTCCTTGCAGGTCTCTGCAACGCCAGCTGCCAGGAAGGAGTTGTAGTAGCCCATCAGCAGCAAAGGCACCTTCAGGCCCTTAGCACCTCAGCAACTCGGTAAGGGGCCTACATGACGCGCGCAGTGTTCCTCACGGACTCCCACATGGCTGGTTTTCCTTTGCCCTCCTGGAACCGAAAGGGGATCCCCTTTTTCAGGAAACACCCAAACTTATGCCATCTCCATTTACAGAAACTATGGAACTGCGCCAATGGAGCTCAGCATTGGGAGGTAACATCTACGAAATCCTCCCACAAACTGCGTTCGCTCCAAAATTCAAGCCCAGCTGCGCGCTTCCCGAGCAAAAGCGATCACATCCGAATAGATCGTGCCTCAGCTTGCAACCATGTCAAGCGGCGTCAGGATCTTGATTCATAGGTTTCCCTTGCTGGATAGCACTGGATGAGTGACAGAGTTGCACCCCGAGGATGCTCCTCAAAGTGCACAAAAGGCGAACAACCATTCGGCCCAGGAGGCCAACCAAATTGACATCGCTGCATGATATACAAGCTCATGCCAGCTTTCAGCCGGACTGGTTGAATCAGTCCGATTGAATGTCGATTCCTACAATGACATGTCAATGACAATTCAAGCAGCTGACTGAACTGAAAGATGATTGATTTGAGCTCAAAGCGTTGAGGAACTGCTGTGGGCTTCCAACACGTGCACAAAGTGAAGACGCACATTGCAAGGGAAATTCTCGGGGGCCCCCGGATGGCCTTCCAGTTGCCAAGGCGCCATTCTTGATGGCGACGACGCTGGCAGCCTCGATGGCGCTACCATCTGCCATGGGGTCAGAGAAGGGGACGCCGAGCTCAATGATGTCCGCACCTGCGTCAGGGTCGGGTAGAATCCTCTAGCTGGTTTGAGTGAGTTTCAACATTCATAGCCGTTCTTCCAAAATCAACAGATCCAAGCGACAAACAGGCCTACGTCATCTGGCCCGAATCGCAGCATGAAGAACAGCTGCTTTCTTCTCAACATAAACAGCTGCTTTCTTCTCAAGCCCAACATAGGATCCCTCCAAAGCATTGCGCATGAACTCATCTTGAATCCCTGGAGCATTATTTTTGTATCCCTTTTCAACTCAAGCCAAGAAAGTTCACCTCCTGTGGTCTTCTCATACCCGAGCAGGCTAGTGGTTGGATTTGTTGTCATATTTGCTCACCCTATGTTTCAACCCGCCTTGCTTCTCGAGCTCCAACATAGCAGGCACGGTATCAGCCTTCGTGGGATAGCCCGCCTCAAGGGGCGAGAAGGCTTCCTCCCTTCAATCTCCAATTGCACACCTTGCAAAGCACTGGTTGTGACTGTCCAAAGCAGGTCTAGAACAAATTCTAGCAAGCACAACACCCTGACGATTCAGGGCATGCTTTCGGAAGCACCCCACAAACCAAGGAAATAATCTTTGAGTCTTAGACGGAATTCTGAGAGGGGCTCTGAGATTTTGTTTTTTCTGCGTAAGTCTAAACGACTCTCCCAATGTCTGTCTGATTCTGTCGCGCTGCGAACTCCTGGCATCCTCCGTTTCATGCCATTGTCACAGGGGGCAAAAGGAAAGGGGGGCCGCCATGATCTCTTCTCTCTCTCTCTCTCTCTCTCTCTCTCTCTCTGTCTCTCTCTCTCTCTCTCCGCGCTGGTTCTGGAGTCAGGCCAAGGGAGATTCCGAAATGGAGCACGTTGTCGGTACAGCTCTCTTAGCCAACTAACAAGCAACAGCCGGCATCTGTTTGAGAAGCTGACGTCGCCTTGGCCAACTTGGGCAGGTGAGCAATCCAATCCGGCACCAAGGTGCATCAAGAATCATTCAAACGGTTCCCACAAACCTCTTGCTTCAAGTCTTTTGAGTGCGGCAGCTTCCCCAGCGCCCCCATCTCACTCCCCGGCCGTCACAAAGGCGACCATGGCGGTGCGCTTGGCCTTCTTGCATGCTGCAAAGCGTTCCTTGGACGAGAGAGACCTGTTGGGAGGTCTTTTCCTTGGGGTCGTAAAGGGAAACCAAGGAGAAACCATACCTTTTGGATGCCCCCATTCAGTCAAACCCATTTAAGTCCAGTTGAGCGACCAACATGGTTGGAAACGGTTCAGGCCGCAATATACTCCCCATGATTCCTAGCTTCTTGGCTGATGCCCAAGGGCAACCCAAGGGCTTTCCATGTTCAGCAGCCGAACCGCCAACATTGAGATGCCGACTTTCTGAAGCACAATCAGTAGTGAACGGATATTCCAGAACCGAGCAAGCAACCTGACTGCACGAGAATGTCTGTGGGATCCTGTTCTCAGCAATGCATCAGCAAATGAAACACATACGCGCCATGCGCCTGCCCATGCTGCGGCGCCTTTCAACGCGCGCCGAGGCTCCGCCAGTCGGGTGGACATTGCCAAAACTGAAGCGCCGGGACTTGGCGCTGGCTCGACCTTTGGGGATCAAAAGTGACCTTTGAGCTTCCTCAGCTGCGGAAGGAACCTGCCAGCGCCTAGGGCTAAAACGCGGGTGCGGCGTGAAACTCTTCATGAAATGTAGCATCGGTATGTGGTGCTATCTCAACGTGATTACACTTGTTTCGACAGCAACCATGCAACTGAGCGGGAAATGGAATGTGCACTTTGAAATGGCGCAACAATGTCAGAGACTCTAAATCCCAAATCATAGATATCATGATGCAACATATTTTGTTAATAGGATGCGAACATGTTGATACTACATAGTTGGCCTGTAGAGTGCTCAATGACCTATTAAACATATTTCAAACACATCGAGATTCGCAGTTTCCTGGTGACTGCCAAATCGCAGGCGCAAACAAACACAAGTTCAGCGAGTGCTCTCCCTCTTCCGTCCTTTGGCGCGCTCCAGGACGAACCTGGGAAGGCCTGTCGAAAGAGATGCAGGCGGCTGGCAAAGGTTGGCCTTGTTGGGTAGGTGCCTGTTGTTTCCCAAGGAGCCTTGCGGAGCAGCCCCGAACAATGTCGACTGTTCATGGCTAGAATTGCCCCGATGGTCAAGCCACACTTTCTTCTCTCCAAAGGGTCCCTGTCACTTTCGTCCAGCCTCATGAGCTGCAAGGGCCATGTCACGGCCGAGCCGGATGCTGTACTGTGTGATGGCTATTAAGGCATTGTGTGCTTCGTGGTTTGAGATCAAAGAGTTTGGTCATCGCTCCGCTTTGGCTGCGAAAGTCAGCAGTTCACTGTTGTGGAACTAAAGCGTGGGCACAAAGAAACCGCTTGGAAAAACCATCAACGAGCTTTGCATTGATGGATTTTCAAGCCCGTTTCAGGCCGCTGCCACCACCTTTGGATGGCGTGCAGGCGGCAGTACAGCACAGCTAAAGTGCAGAGCCAAAACAGCAAAGACCATAACGCGACCTACCCCAGCACTGCAACACCAATGTGCCTGTGCCCATGTCGAGCCAGATCAATACAGTCCAAGCTCACTCGTGAATCAAAGCAACAAGCAAGGCAAGCAAGGAAAGCAAGGCGAGCAGTTCAATCATCATCCCTGAAACACCCGAGGCAAAGTGCGGCGTCTCTGTGCCCCCGGCCAAAAGTCTAAGTCCAAAATGTAGTCCAAGTCAGCTGGCGCAAACGCATCACTTTCGTGCAACTTGAGAGCTTGGCCCCAGCTGCTGGAAGCCAATTCCATTAAAGCCATTGCAGACATTGCTTAGCTGTTGAGCACAGGGAGGGAATACGAGTTCATTGCACTCCTCTTTCGGGATCTCACTCAGTGCTTTGAGGTGCATTCACATCCAGCTGACCTTGGGCCAAGATCTGTAAGCCTTCTTGGAAGATAACCGCGTTTTCTAAGGCCCAAGAAGTCACCAGAACCTTCTTGTTGTCCAACCCCATTGGAATCACTGCGTTCGAACTTTTGCGCAAACCTGGGTTTTGCAAATCAATGGAAGAACTCCAGGACCCATTTGCAATATAGAAGCGATCAACCTCGAGGTCTTTCCAAACCCGCCAGGAAGTCTCTTGGTGCCCCGGACGGTCACCACCTCAGCCGCCGAAGCTGGCTGGACAGTGACCCTGTAAGGAATTCGTCTCTGTCAATTGGCTCTAGGGGACAATTGCATGGCCGGTGCCACAAATAATGTTGACCCCGGATTGATCAACCCCTGTTTATTCATATGGGGGTGTTTCTGGTTTTAGTGGGGATTCATCACTTTTCGAGGGGAACAACCCCATAGTAATAAACAGGGGTTTATTAATCCGGGGTCAACAATACGGTCATGCCGGACTGACTCGAGGTGCTCGGGCCCTGATTCGCCAGTAAGCCTGGCATCCTATCAACCCCATCCACTGGGCGCCAGGCCGTGGTCTTCTCCAGAGCTGTGCCAGGCTGTCCTTGGAAGACGAACCACGAGGTCCAGTCCTGGATGTCGCCTCAGAGCCAAACTGGTATTTTGGAAAGAGGCCCTTGGTAGGGCATTGGCCAACCTTCAGTGCACTTGGGGTGAAAGAAGGCACCCATGTGCTGTCAGCTCAAAGGGGGCGTTGAGAAAACTGGAAAACATTGTGCAACCGAACCCCTTGGTCAAAACAGTCTTGACCTCCCAATACTTTCCCAGTGTCCTCGACTCATACATCGTCCCAACACACATGCGATATTCTTTCATTTTGAATGGTTGTAAAACAGAACGATTGGTGAAACAAATTGACTCAAACCACCGCTCCATCCAATTCCTGGCGCCATCTGCCACCACCTGCAACCCCTTCGAACAACTTCCAGTGCAACAAAACACTCCCTGCCCAGTCAGCCAAGCCAGCCAAAGGCATTGGAGCAATCTGTACCCTGAAGTCCTTCGATTTCAAGCACTCGGGATCTCTAAAGGAGATATTCTGGGAAATGTTCCAAGCAACATGGCGATGCTTGGGTGGAACAACGGGAGCAGTTGCCGCGGAAAGTGCATGAGAACCACTGAGAGCCGTGCAGCTCTCATCACTGGGAGAGCAGCGCTGCTCCCGCCTAACAGCCAGTCCATCTCTTCAGAGCCTCTTCTCGGAAGGAGCTGCAACATACCCTGGACCCGATCATTGCGGAATGCCTGCAGGAAACCAAGTGGAGTTACCCAGGCCAGGTTTCGCAGTTAAACAGACTTGAGCTGACTCCCAACACTTTCAATCCCTTGGATGAGCCAGAATTAGCATAGCCAGCAAGATCCTTGTGTTCTCTTTTTCAAGAGGACATCTGGCAGGCCAACTGAAGCCCCAAAAGAGTTCCGACCCCCTCACCAAGGCTTCCGCCGTTGCTGGTGTACCATCCTCAGGCGTGCGCGAATGCTCCCTCCCACAACCAATTGCAACTGAGATTTAATCAAGAAAAAGGCTGAACCCCAACGTAAATTAGCATCCACAACCTCCGAACCGATATTCCGCTATGATTGGAGGCCGATGGAAACGTAACTTCCTCCAAAGCAACTCTGTCAAACAACGTTTAGGCTCGAAATCTAGTCACAATGTCGCATCAAGTCGCTCAGCTATGGCTATACGCCAATCAATCAATCAATCAATCAATCAATCCCAGCAACAAACAAATAATTAAATTTGAGGGGATTCAAATCTTTGCATGAACCGTAACGTCGGTGCGACCACACATTGATGGGTGTACTCCTCATACCCTTCACTGGCGACGGTCTCGGCTCCCCAGCTTCCACCCTGGTAGCCACTGCCGAAGGTGTATCTCCAGATGGTGGTCCGGCATGTACACCAACTGCCCAGAGCCCATGGCTTTGCTCCGGAATAGGAGAAGGAACACCCAGAGAGCGGAGGAAAGCCCTCGTTCAAAGACACGTTGCAAACGGATTACGCCATATGCACTTCGGCCGACATGAGTCGCGCCTTGTTGAAGAGTGCAAAGTCCACCAGAGCTAAGACATTGTCGTCTGTGGTGCCCTCAGCGAAGGGCATTGGCAGTTCTAAGACACACTCCCTTTGGCATTGCGCCCAATCTGGGCGCGGCTTCAATTTCTCAGAGTCAGGCCATCTGAATTGTGCAGGGAGCAGCAGTGAAGTTTTCCGCTCCTTGGCAACTTGTTGGCTCAAGTTGTTTGATCCTGCCGGGGAGCCCTTGACACATACTGAGCTCTAAAATCAGCTCAGCCTTGCAAAGCAACAATGTTTCATGAGAAATGTGGTGACTTTGGGGGAGAGACGAGTCTTGCCTGCGCAAGGAGCTTTCATTGGGCACAGTCACAACCTCTTCCCCTGTTTCAAAGATCTTATGTCTGAAGATTGCTGATTTTCGCGTCTCAGCTGATTAGCCTTTTTTCAGCTTCACTTCAAAAGGTGCCTGGCGAATGGCCCCTTCCGGTGCCTTTCCCGGAGCTCTGGGCCTCCCGCCCCACCAGTTCATGCGCCCGTCGCTGGGGAAGCGGAAGGTGCCGGGCAAGAAGTGCGGGGCCTCCAACTCGCCTTTGACCTGGGAATGAAACGCACGGCCATGGGTCAAAATCCAAATCGGCTAGCCCCCAGTGAACATCCCAATCCCCACTAAAATAGACTAAAACGGGTGGTGCACCTACTCCAAAATAGGTACCATTGGTTTTGACCCACAGCCACATTGTCCTTGGAGATTGGAGATCATTCGGAGTGTCCACAATAAGCCCATCAATTCACTAGGATCCATGTGTAGCTGGAAAGGAAGGAACAGTGAAGAAGCACACCAGGAAACCGGTTGCTTTGCATGGAAAACTAAGAGCCACTAAGGAAGGGGCTGTCCAACAGAGGAAGCATCTTCGGACAATGCACTACAGGCATTAATCTATTGAATACACGGCAACTCTTGACTCTTGTCGTTCAGTTCTTCGGCATGCCAAAAGCGGAGGATCAAATGAATGCCATCAACAAGGCCTTCGGACAATGGATGGAGGAAAGGGTCAGTCTGCGGGCCTCCCCTCTTGCGTGCGTGCAAGAGGTTTGCCGGTGAACCCTTTGTGCGGCTCAATAACAGGACCCGCTCTCAGCAGCGGGCAGCCTCCTTGAAATGAACCGCTGGTACCAGGGCTCTGGCGAGAGCGCCCAACGACACCGAGATCAGGGAGCTCATCACTGCCGTGAAGATTAGGGTGAAGAGCCTGAACACCGGTTCCCTTGATTTGCCAAGCCAGACACATGCCTGGCATGCCTTGCATGCCTTGCATGCCTTACATGCCTTACGCAAGTATACACTGGCTCCACAAGATGGGCCTCTTGTGAAACAGTGGACATGTCTGTCGATGTTGCAGGCGACCTCGTGAAGTCCCCACTTCCGTTCAGACTATTACGTGTGCAATGGCACACTTTGGTTTGCACAACCGGAGCAAGTTCAGGAGGTTGTCTTCAAGATGCGAGATAGAAAAAACTCACACGCCGAAATTAGCCACTTAAAGACTTGTCCGACTTATCCGAAACAACTCCACAGCGCGGAGCACTCTTTGCTGTGGTCTTTCCATGCCCACTTTCAGACAAGCACTCCTCGAATCCCGCTGGCCGTTTTTGGTATGGGCCAAGACATTTGTCTGCTGACGGTGTAATGTCACCTTTTGCCACAGCAAGCTGATGCAACCGTATGCTTCACTTGTCGAGCTACATGATCGGTTACCAACTTCCGGGAATGCTGCATGAGGCACCTATGGACCTGTCTAAATCCGCCATAGCGCATGAACATAAAAAAACTATGTGGCTTGCCTAATATGCTGCTTGCTTGCAACATCTGAGCATGGATTCTAGACGGACCCTTGTATAATCTTCATTTACATGTGAGTTATGTTATGTCCACCAGCCATTCTTGATGGTCCCATTTCATTTGCGGACATGGCCTTCGTATGCCTTCTTCGTCGTTTTTGATTCCATTGGCCTTTCCTGGGCTCCCGGGCAAGGAGGCCCGGCCCTTGTGCTGAATCTTCCGCGGCAAAAGGCAGTGGCTTGCAGCCTCGGACGATCGAAACGAAAAACGCAAAACCAGAATCGACTGCCACGAATGGCCGTGGCTTCCCTTTGAAACACCTATGCTAGGGATGGTGTTCTCTTGGGTGTTCCTTTGAAACACACAACCCATGGCGACAAGGCATTCATCTTCCATGGCGGTCACAGCGCCAGTGCCATTTGACCAAAATGAACATGGAAGTATGACATCGGTCACACTGCCAACCCAGGGATGCTGACGGCCGAAATCACACCGAACAGTCACGTGGAATTCGATTTCGCACATCCAGCAACGAACTCAGCATGCTACAGTAACCAGAAGTCTTGCCCATCACTAAGTGGCCTTCCCTTCACCTCCGGCCCAACTTTCAACGGATGCAAGTACTGGGAACATTCATTTGACACAGGAAAGGTTGGGGCAAAAGGAATTCGACATTGAAGTCTCCAAGTTGGCTATGGCACAAAATGCATTGCAAGAAGCCCGATCATGAATTCCTATTCGTGCGTGGCTGAATCGGTCGCGGCTTCTTAGCCACTGGGTCCCACGCACAGAGGCAAATACCGATGAACGACAAGTATGAAGGGCCGCGAGTCGCGCAAGCCGTGGACCTTGCGCTGGACGGGGCAACAGAAAGAACAGAATTTGGGGGGGGTGTCTGAAACTGGGGGAATCTCCAAAATATGTGTTCCTTCTGGCTTCCAGTTTGAACTACACAAAATCGAGCTAGCCACTGCCTTACGCCGGGATCACACTCTGAGTCACAATGGTGCATGGCGCCTGACAGGGCACGGTCCAGAAGTCCGGAATGTCATTGGTAGAGATTGGCTGCTGGAATCAAACCATCCGACTGGACGAGCCGGATAAATGGGAGGCATCAACCAGGCGCGCGGCAGCAGCGCCAGCACAGCAACGCCCAGCGAGATGCAGGCATGGCACAGGTGCCTGCAGTGGACAGGAAACCCCGGTCCAAACTTGTTCTGCCAACTTCTTGCATGTTCGAGGGGCTAAAATAGAGGCCTCTTTAATCTAGTATCATGAGTTTGACAACCGCTCGATCGCTCAAGTGTAAGTTGTGCTGCATCTCAGCCATACGCAAGCTCTCACAAGTTTTGAGTCCCCTGCGCATACTGAGGACAAACCTCAGAGTCTGAATTGAACAGAGAAACTAGGCGTGGTGCTTCTCTCACTCTGCGATACTATAGGTTCACCTCTTCCGCGTGTTCCATGGCATGGTAGTCAATCACTGAGTTAAGAACTTCACGGACACGCTAGACAATAGTCATCTTAAACTACCGCTAAGTCTAAATGAATGTGAGCCCAGCAACTTTGGGGCTCAACAGGGCCATGAGTTCATGAGCCCAATCAGGAATAGGCTCCCGGCTGCCAAGCTCACGGCTGGAAAGGATAGCAATACCATCCTGGTGTGTTGACAATGAGTTCGAACCGTCTCAATTGATTGGCAACGGTTGGCTTTTTGATTCCCTGTTCACACACACACACACTTCCTTCTGGAAGGACTGTAAATTGGGTACATTCCCAGTCGATGCGAAATTGATCAAAGACGCATGGTCTTTCTTTCGCGTTCATCGCTCAACATTAAGTACATAGACTGCGGCATGTTCTGACGTTGCAGTGATGTTGCGTCTACTTTCAGCAGGGAACAGGGAACCAGCCTTCGATGCTGGTCAGAGTAGTCAATCGCAAAAGCATGTGGCGTGCAAACACACTTGTTTGCCGTGTTCGAACTCATAGGAAGCCATTTGCGATAGAAGCGAAAGAAAATCCTAGGAGCAAAGGCGCTGCCAGCAAGTCCATGCCGGAAGGGCACTGCCAGACCACAAAGGCCCTCCACATAGTGCCTGGCAGCAGAATGCAAAAAGCCAAGTTTACCGTCACCAAGGTGAACACCCACACACACACACACCAAAGCTGATTGTGGCATGGTTGTCATTTCCTATTTCCTGCAATCCTGCCCAAAGCTTCGCAAGTGGGCAAGCCTTCCCGTGTTCTTGCAGCTCTGATTTGTGATGGCTCCTTAGAAGAGAACACGGTGAGGGATCACAGCACCAGCGTTCTGCCTTGTCTCTGAGATGGGTCTGACCAAGCATGATGATTTGCGCTTCCGTAGTGCATTGAACTATGCCTTTCAAGATATCAATTGCTGCACACTCAAGCAATCATCAAGCTTGGGTGATATAGCATATGATCTTATAGAATTCCTTGGAAGATGGTATGCTCTCCTTTCCCCTCTCAATCCTCGCCCGTATGCTGTGGGGCGAGGTAGGGAAAGGCAAAAGTAAGCAAAGAAAACATGAATGAATTTGGCCATTATTTCCAAGCCTTTATGATTGGCCAAATATTCCTTCATTCATCATCCCTTCCTCTCTTCATCCTACAGTATTATCATATGGCTGTGGCTCAAAAGCATGTACCAAAATGGCACCCTTGGCAAATGGCACCAAAGACTAAATCCAGCGTAACCCTGGATCTTTAATTTTGAGCCACAGCCATATTTGCCTTTCCTAATCCCGTCCTTTCATCACAGATTTATTCCTGGATGGGATATGAAAGGAAAGGGAATATGATGTAGGATGTAGAATATCATTCATCTTTCCAGTCTATTCCTCTCACCGCTGGCTCGCTTCATGTCCTCTTCACCTCACACTCTCATACCCACTCGCCTGTCAATGGGTGAGCGCTGAGGAAGGAAGAAGTCTCTACAATAATATTTGTTAGGTGAGAGACTCTTCCTTGCTTCCCATCCAAGAATCTGTTAGAGAGGGAAGGGGTATGAAGGAATGACACCTTGCTGACTCAGTCCTTTCCCATCTGACTCAGTCCTTTCTGTTCCTGAAGATAGCGGTGAATCCTAGAGAAGAAAGACAGCCCACGTCTGCCATTGCATGGAAAGCAATTTGGTGTGGAATGCCATGTCTTTCAGCTCTCCATTCTATCATTCCTTTCCCAGCCCTGCAACTCATATGCACAAAAACCCCTGAAGACAGTCCAGTGCACTTTGCCGCAGCTGGCCTAGTGATGAAGAGCACCGAGCAAATGACAGCGCCGGAGACCATCCAAACAAGAGAGCCTGGCAATGCCAGGCAGCTAGCAGTGTCATGCAACAAAGCTGAATCACGGCAAAAGGTGCATGTGTTCGCCTGCACTGACAGATTCACCCCAGTCCAGGCGCCAAACGGCACTTGAACACAACTGCTCTAAGATGGAGGTCCGCAGAATCATGTGACCTTCGCCAGAATTGAAAGTGCAGGGACAAACATTGCCATTCCAAAATGTTGCTGAGCCATGCAGGTCAAAACTGTTCATGGGAGTAGCGAGCTATTGCGCCGCATGAGAGCAAGGCTCGGTGCCTTGCATGATCTGATCCGGACTGCCGCCGCAATAGGTTTCCATGAAAACGGCCCACCTGAGCAGAAGCAAAATCTCTGCCAGGACAGAATCAAGCAAGCCCCGCGCATCCAAGAAATCTTGAGACATTCCGAGTTGCGACTTAAGCAGATCTTGTCAATAGAAATGTGTAGCCCTCAGGAAGCAAGCCTCCTGGTTTCCTCCTTTGTGCTCTTGGAAGCCCCTGCACTTGGTGCCCGCGCGGTTCCACCGACTGGAGCCTGAAGGCCACTGGTGAGCCCAGGGCTGCTGTCCTGTGGGAAGAAAAAGCCAAGCTGTCTTGCCCAAATTGAGCTTGAGCTCATGCCATTGGTGTAGCGCCCCTGGAAATGATAATATGTGGCAAGCTGGATCTTCTCGTTCTGTGAACGGTTGCTTCGCTTTGAGTTCAGCATGTCGCGAAGCAGCTACTAGGGTGTCCAGAACAGTCTTCCGAGGTTCCGCTGGAGAGGCTTGCTAGGCCAATTTTAACTGCTTCTATGGAAGAATCGCAGATCTTGCCAAATGGTGGATCTAGTGAAAACAGTCCAGCTGCCTGTGTTGCGCCATGCTTCCCAGTGCTTCCCGACCGCAAGCTATCAGATTGAGCTTGCCTGAGGTAGCCAATCATGCCCGGGTCGGAGCCGCCCACCTCAGGCACGGCGGGTCATGGCGGGTCGGCTGCAGTCTACTCCCCCCTTGGCCAACGCGCGTGCTGGGTGCACGGCGTCGTCCACAAGTTGGGCGCCAGCTGAGAGGAGCAGCCGGACACCTCTCCGGAAATCCAATGCCATGCAAAGCCCGAGCCTACGGAATGCCTGATGCAAGCCTTGCTCCACTTGGTCTTGCACCTTGCCCCACGCATCTACCCGCATTTCCCCTGTGAAACTGACGATGTCTCCTCTCTCCCGCTGAAATCTCTATGAAGGTTTGCACTGAACCCAACTTGATGCAAGGATGTCTACCAACATCGCTCCCCGCGCCTCCGCCGCGGCTCAGCTCAATGTCCTGGTTGCAAAAAATAAAACAACGACATCTGCCCTCAGGCTGCGCGGATGAGTGGATGTGAAACTGGAAAGGGCAAAGATGGCAACTTTGCTTGTATGCCTGTCACAACACTCTCCTTTTCAATCCTTGTAGATCATACTTAGACTGGACACACGAAGCGCCTGGGTGAGGCAAAGATGATCATCCAGCGACGCGAGGAGCGACCGTCGGTCCTGCGAGAGCCATCAGCAAACTGGCTGAAGCACTGTGTGCGCCCGCGTTTATCGTCCCTTACTATTTGGAAGCGGGTTGAAGCTAACTGGTTGAACATCCACACCAGCATGAGGGGATTGTGTCATCAGACGTTTATACATTTATACCTGGACAAGCTCAGGGATCTCGGGACGCTTTAAACGCAAGTCCTGCTCTGAAGCGATGATTGCACCGCGCTCCAGACTGCGCCCTGGAACGCAATGCCTCCTGAGCTCATGCCCACAGTCGCTAGTCCAACACCCCGAGGCACCATCAAAAGGTGTGGGATTCCTCCCTTCCAATGGATTTCCCTGAGGGGTAACTCCACTAGTAGTAAGTAGGCCAGTCTCCACCTAAGCCTTCCGCTGCAGCAGGTGAAGGATGCTGAAGATGATCAGCAGTGTTGAACCAATCTTGGCAAACAACCACGCAAATCAAACACTTCCGACTCCTGGCCCGAGCATGCCTTCAACATCTCTCTTGGCAGAGAAAGCATGGTCTTACTACTGGCCTCAAGCCGACCATCCCTTCCTCACCAGCTGGTTCACTTGGGACCTGTCACTGTTGCCTTTCACGCCAGCCTCAATCGTGGGATCACGGCAGCGCCCTCTTGCCATTTTGAAACTCGAAGCTGAGTTGAGTCCTCGCCCGCTTTGCGGGATTCTCCAGCTCCTGCCGGCACGGCACTCACTTCAAGGCAGATACTCTACTACGCACACATATACAAAGGCATACTCTCACAAATGTTCACATGAACACACGCATACACACACGCAGACACAGACACACAGAGACACAGAAAGACACGGAGAGACACACAGAGAAAGAGAGACACACATAAACACAGAGACACACAGAGACACAGAGAGACACAGAAAGACACAGAGAGACACGGAGAGACACAGAGAGACGAAGAGAGACACACAGAGACACAGAGAGACACACAGAGACACAGAGAGACGCTTAGAGACGCAGAGAGATGCAGAGAGATGCAGAGAGACGCGAGACACAGAGAGACACGGAGAGACACAGAGAGACACACAGAGAGACACAGAGAGACACAGAGAGACACACAGACACAGAGAGACACGGAGAGACACAGAGAGACACAGAGAGACACAGAGAGACACAGAGAGACAGAGAGAGAGACACAGAGAGACACAGAGAGACACACAGAGACGCAGAGAGACACAGAAAGACACAGAGAGACACACAGAGACACAGAGAGACACAGCGAGACACAGAGAGACACAGAGAGACACAGAGAGACACAGAGAGACACGGAGAGAGACACAGAGAGACACAGAGAGACACACAGAGACACAGAGAGACACACAGAGACACAGAGAGACGCTTAGAGACGCAGGGAGATGCAGAGAGATGCAGAGAGACGCGAGACACAGAGAGACACGGAGAGACACGGAGAGACACAGAGAGACACAGAGAGACACAGAGAGACACAGAGAGACACAGAGAGACACAGAGAGACACAGAGAGACACAGAGAGACACAGAGAGACACAGAGAGACACAGAGAGACACAGAGAGACCCAGAGAGACCCAGAGAGACACAGACACACGGACACACGGACACACACACACACACACTTATGCTAGGTTGTGTCCGCTTGTCCACCCAAGCCCTTTCTGGCCTTACCAATCCAAGCCAGCGTCTCGCTGCGCGGCTGGACGTGTTTGAGTATAGCGTGGAAAGGAGCGGCCCGGGCTGAGAAAAAGGATACGCATGCATATAGCGCACCCTTGCTCACATCAAGTTAAGACAGCACACTCACACTGCCCTCTTGTCTCTATCGCTGGATCTTGCAGATCTTGAACCTCCGGATGTCGACTCTCCGCGCGTTGCCTCGACCATCTCCAGCTCCAGGGTCGAAAGCTCTTCGCCGTCCAAGGCGTCGCCCTCTTCCTCGCGGCCTGTAAGCCGAGGGCACGCGCTCCCGAACTGAACGACATTTCCAGGCAGGTCAATGGCAAAAAAGAGCTGTGACAAGAAAGCCGTGGCTGTGCCTTGGTGCAGTCGCTTGATGTCGGTTTGTTTGTGGGTCCAAAATAGCATAATCCAAAATGAAAAACCCTGGGAAGTGATAACATGGACGGAAACCTGCTGTTCCCTGCTGGCTTCATTTGGACCCGTACCCATTTGGGCCGGTGGTTTGCAGGCTTGCAGCTTAGGGTTCCCATGTACTCTCGTACCCTCAACAAGAAACAAACAATCCCCCCCCCAAACACCAAAAAGTTCGGTGAAGCAAAGTAAGCAAGAAGTTGGTGAAACAAACCGCCAAAAGTTGGAAAGTTGGTTCCAACTCGAAAGTTGGGGAATCCCTGGCCTAGCGGCGTCAGCTGCTGCGCTGGCACCAGGCGCCGCAGCCCGTCGCCCAGGCGCACGCGCCAGGCGCCGCTGCTGCAGTCGAAGACCTCACACACCGCCAGGGCGCCGTGGCAGGCGCCTCTCGCGAATCCAACAAGACACGGTTTGGGTTCTTCACATGGCTGTGGGTCAAAAATAGGTACCCAAAATGGGTTGCCCCTGAGAAGTGGCAACATAAAAACCTGCGGTCCCCTGGTGGTTTAGTTTTGACCCACACCCACATGGTTCGGTTTTTGTTGGCTTGCTCTGGTTTCCTCTCGGTTTCCTCTCGGTGTCCTTTGTCTTTGGTGGTTCCCGTGAGTCTCCCCGCAAAACAAATGTCGGCTTCTTTGGGATTCCCTTTAACCACCCAACCAAAAACGGCTTCACCATTGGTATCCAAATTGGTTTCACCATATGGATCTTCTCAAAATGGATGGGCACCCCTCTTTTGATGAATCCAAAAGGAAACCAATCATTTTAGGGGACCGCAATTCGGAGACATACCCACATACAAATGGTTGAATAACGATGGCATCAGTCCCTCATTTGGGTTTAGTGATTCCATCTACTTACCTCTGGGACAAAATCCTGCAGTTGGTAGGTGGGTTGTCCCATATTCATTAAGATTCATCAATCCCAGCTGGAGCAGGAATTTGTCCGTCCACAGTACGTAGTCGCGTGCATGTTGAAAGGAAACTCAAAACACAGGCTCTCCAAAGAGGGGATTCCTCTGAAGTAGTTCTTGGTTCAATGTTAACCTGCAGAGTCAGAATCCCAAGGACTGTAGGACTATCTCCAGCCCTGGAATCTTCTTGGAGATGGAACCCTCTGCCCCATCCCACTGTCGCTGTTCGGGAAAAACCGGTCCTTCCCAAATCAGTTTTGCAGGATTGTGTCCTAAAGGTTGCTGTTTTGGGACATACTGTGAATCTTCTTGATCGTAGCCAGCGGGTTCCTCATCCAAGCATGCTTGCAGAAATGCTGTGTGGTTGAGCAAATGTCCCCAAAGCATGTTCACAATCAAAACTGAGGTAAATGACCTTCAGTTGGGCACTGTCCAGACCATAAGTTGGTGCAGTCGGGAGTCTGGGGCATGGTCCGGGCTCCAACAAACAAACAGAGCCGTTGGTCTCCTGAAACTCTCCAGGTCCGTTCGAAGGGTTCTGCGGCAGGTCCTTTGAAATCGGCATCCATTCTGCGCCTCTCACATCCATGCGCGCTGCCGCCCCGGGGAAGAGCGCGCCGCATGCGCCGCTCTTCTCGCGGCCCACGTTGGCACTGCGCCTTGGCTGCAGGTTGCTTCGCTGCACGATGGATCAATAGTTACACTCACTGGAAACATGATTGGTGGAAAATCATGCTCCGGAGAAGCCTGAAGCAAGTTCAAAGGTACCGCATCATCAATAGAATCTCCAGTGCAAATAGCTTTGTTGTGACCCCTTCAACGTGATGTAGCAGGCTCTTCCTCCTCCTCACATCCTTCTCCTCCTCCTCCTCCTCCTCCTCCTCCTCCTCCTCCGCATCATCATCAGCATCAGCATCCTCATCCTCATCACCATCACCATCATCATCATCATCATCATCATCATCATCATCATCATCATCATCATCATCATCACCATCATCACCATCATCACCATCATCACCATCATCACCATCATCACCATCATCACCATCATCACCATCATCACCATCATCACCAGCACCAGCACCATCAGCAGCAGCATCACTATTACACTATCACTATCGTCATCCTCATCCTCATCATCCTCATTATCATCATCATGGACACTTTAAATGTGAGCTGTCCCTATTTGCTCTGCTGAATTGAGCTCAAGTCTGAAGATTGCAACTGAGTTCCTGGCTCATCGCGGACATGAAATTCGCCTTCTGGCTCTGGCAAGTCCTGTGTTGCCGCGTACGACAGCCCCCTGCAGTTAGCAATCCCTGCAGTTAGCAATGCTAACCACATGGTGGGTTGCCAAAAATACAGACCCCATTCTGGACCAGTTTTGAAAGGGCCCCACATGAACCATGGCCCAAAAAGGGTACTTGTTGAGAACCCACATCTCTGCCTATGGCCCCATAGCGACAGCGACTCGTCGACTCGTCCAGCCCGGGCCGGTGGAAGCGCTCGAAGTGGAGCCGCGCGCACAGCGCCCGCGAGGCGCGGCTCGCGCCTTCCCCAGACCCCGGGCCCGCGCCGAGAGCTGCGACTCGTCTGCGCTCTCGCGGACGTGGGAAATTGATTAAAAAATATGGGGCAATTGGACATCCGTTCGCACCTAAGAAATCCTGGAAAGATGATTTCCCTCTAAATACCAACACGCAATGGACCACAATGGTTTCCTATGGTTTCAAAGTGGTGCAGGATTACTTACGTCCATCTCGATGGTTGAACATGCTTAATAGGTCCTTTGGATCGCCATCCGGACAGGTCTGAATGTTTTGGGAAGCACCGACACGAGCAATGCTTGTTGATGGGCCTAACCAACAGTTGTTTCACGTTGCTGCTGCGGCAAAGTGTTGTCATTCACACCGCCAGCAGCAAAGATGGTATGTTTCAGTGGTGCCCCTTTCAGTCCAGTTGATCAGTACCCGCTCAAACCCGCACGCGCGTCTTGCCGCTTGCGCATGTGCTGCACATCATGGGGCTGCGTGCGAACTCTCAGTGGATCTGCTGTTTGAGACAGGGAACCAGCACCTGCCATCGTGAATTCCCATTTGCAGAGCCCATCCCATGGGCTTTCTTGTTCACAATGGGGGAGGGGAGGGGGTACACTGCAACAAGGAAAACACGATCCGGCGTAAGGATGCTTTCAACTCAGCCAGCTAGCCTCATGTACTCTTATTTTTACTCTCCTTCGGGGGGACATCAATAAGGTGGCACAAGGCGGCACCAGGATCCAAAACGAGGCCAAAAGTGCGACAGCCCCCCTCGCATTTGGGGTTTCCCTTACTTCCAAGTCACACATCCCACACCCAAAAAAGCGCTCGAGCGCCTGAGACCCAGCGCTGCAGCTTCCGTCGCAGCGCCTCGTCCGCC